CTTGAGCCCAGGAGTTTGAGGTTGCTGTGAGCTAGGCTTGACGCCATGGCACTCTGGCCCGGGCAACAGAGTGAGACTCTGTCTCAAAAAAAAAAAAAAAAAAAAATTCCTTTAAGTAGATGTATCACAGTTTACTCAACCATTTGATCAACAATTGGCATTTAGATTGTTTCTAATGCCTAACAGATGTCTTAAATTTAATACAGCCCAAACCAAATTCTAAATTGCTACAGCCCAAACTGCTCCTCCTAGAGTTTCCCTCATCTCAGTATTTCCTGTGAATTGCGTGTTCCTGTCCTTTGTTCATTTATTTATACAATTGCTGTCTTGGATTTTTCCCTGCTCTTTATATGCTAATAATATTAATGATGAATCTAACATTAATAACTAATAATTCACTTAACCCTCTTAACTACCCTATGAGGTGGGAACTACAATTTGTACCAATTGTGAGTTAGGAATCATGAAAAAGAGAGGTTAAAGAACTTGTCCAAAATCAAAGACTCCCTAGTTTGAACTAGAAGCAGAGGGGCTCTGTGCTGTGCTGCCTTCTGTGTAGCAGCCAGGATAGGGATCCTTTAAATGCTATTCCATTTAGAACATTTTGGACCTATTGTCCACACCTGATCTGTTGAATCTTTTTTAAGTTTTAAACTTTTATGTGATTTACTCTATTTCTTTCATGTTTGTTTTCTTCATTTGTTTGTTTTTAGAACTTAGGAAGACAGTCCTTCTCCAAACAGAGATCAGAAAAATACTGACTATTCTAATTATTGGTAGTTTTTAATTGTACAATTTTTTTTTTTAAAAAGTATTTAATCATTGATTCTTTAGGAATTCATTTTGATGTGTGAATAATGGTTTAAATTGATTTTCTTCCAAACAGCTATTCAACTAGCCCAGTACCATCTGCTGAATAATAATCATTTCTTCCCCCTCACTACAGTCATTTTGGAGAGACTCTAAGAACTCCTTTGAAGAAAAATCTACAATACTACTGGTTCATGGGATTCAGCAATCAAAAATTTCCAACAAATGTGAAAAAATGTTCAATCTCACTCTTAACTAAAGAAAAACAAATTAAATGCCACTTTCCTCCATTTGGTTGGCAGACCTCAAAGTTCAATACCCAGAATTGCTGGAGAAAGACATGAGACAGAATTGCCAAACTGCCCTCCAGAGAGATTCAACCAATTTACACTCTGCCAGCTGTCTCTGAGAACACCCGCTTCCCCAAAGCCTTGACCACACTGTGGGTTAACAAAACTTTTTGATGTCTGCTACTGTGATGAGTGGGGGTAAAAAAACAAAAATTAATTACTGATCTTTCAATGTTCATATCTTGTATAATGAGTAAAATGATCGAGCACCCTTTTCCTATATTTAAGAGACACTCCCATTTCCTTTTCTATGAATTCTCATTAATTAGACTTAAAAGCTCCAGTGTTTCAGCTAGAAGGTTATCTTTTTTTTTTTTTTTTTTTTGAGACAGAGTCTCACTCTGTTGCCTGGCCTAAAGTGCTGTGGTGTCAGCCTAGCTCACAGCAACCGCAAACTCCTGGGCTCAGTGGTCCTCTTGCCTCAGCCTGCTGGGTAGCCGGGACTACAGGCACGCACCACCATGCCCAGCTAATTTTTTCTGTTTTTAGCTGTCCAGCTAATTTCTTTCTATTTTTAGTAGAGACAGGGTCTCGCTCTTGCTCAGGCTGGTCTAGAACTCCTGAGCTCAAGCGATCCTCCTGCCTCGGCCTCCCAGAGTGCTAGGATTACAGGCATGAGCCACCACACCCAGCCGCTTTAGATATTTTGATGGCATAGAACAGAAACTCAAACCTATTTATTAAATGAATGAATTTATGTATATTAAAAAACTAGAAAAACTTAGTGATATGTTAAATATGGCACAAATTTTTTGCAGCTCCTCCCATCAATGAAAGGATTTATTTTCTCATCACTTCAATCTGGGCTGACTGTGATTTGCTTTGACTCAGAGACTATGGCAGAAGTGCTGTTGTTCTAAGATCTCAAGAGACCTTGCAGCTTCTGCTCTGGATCCTTTGGAATCTTCCCAGCATCATGAGAAGAAGCCCACTCTAGCCTACTGTAGGAAGAAAGACAATTCCGAGGAGGAGAACCAACTGCAAGATGTGGTGAGGCCACCTTAAACTATCCTACTTCAGGAAAGCCAGCAGATGACTAGTGCATGGCTGATCCTAAGTGAACTCAGGAGACCCACCCAGCTGCACCAGCCTAACAGACTCATGAACAAATGCATGGTTGCTATTTCAAGCCCCTGAGTTTTGGGGTGTTTGTTTACAGCAATAACTGATGTGAACTTCAATGTCCAACATGAGACTGGTTAAAGATGCTTATAGATCATCCCTACAAGGGAATGCTATGGAAAGATCTCTAAGACATATAAATGAAAAAGTTTCAGTCTTGAGGTCACAGATTCTAGACTTACAAATGCTAGTAGTATGGACAGTCATGTAATCCCATGATGTAGGTACTATTACTAATCCTATTTTATAAATAAGAAAAGTGAAGCCCAGAGAAGTTAAGTAGTTTGTCTCAAGGTCAAACAGCTAGTAAGTGGCAGGCTGTGGATTGAACCCAGGAGGTGTGGCTGCAAAGCCTGTGCTCCTAACACATGTTGCTCTGCTGCTCACTCCAGCACCAACTCTCATGTCTTCAGTTTCTTTACTGTATTTAGAGCCTTTCCCCAATTCTTTATTATATCATTCACTACCTCCACCTTAAAATTAATTTCCTGGATTTTGGTGGTGTTACTATCTGAATGAACGAACCTCTAAGTTCATGACCTTCATCTAAGGAAAATAAGCTCAAAAAAAGGCTGAAAAATAATTTGATATAAATCATGCCTACCTATGGAAAAGAGTGAGGAAACAAACAGAGGAGAAAAGTCTGGGAATAGGCCTATTTATCATAAAATCTTAAAGAGGCAGTTTTGTTATATATGCACCTCTTTAAAAATGAAACTCAGGAAATAAAATTTATGTAACATGCTTAAGAGATACAGTACACACGCCAATTTAATCAGTAACAGGTGCCACTCGTGAAGTTCTAACTAAAAAATCCTACAGTCAATAAATTATATTATTACATAATTACGATGACATAGGTACAAGCCTGCCTACGTTGGTATAAAAAAAGTTAAAAATTATTTTGGGATTCTGGCAATGAGGAACATTTCTTATTCTCTTACCTATTCTTTCTACACTTCTAAACTGTCTACAATGATGATAAACTACCTTTATATCAAAGGTTAAAAAGAAAGTTTTTCCTATATCCAAAAAACTTCAATTCTAAATAACCAAGTGTTTCTGAACTTTGACTCAGGTCAACATACAAAGAAATTCAACATCTAAGTAGACAGTTAAAGTTATATATATGTATACACATATTACTACATACATATACACACATACACACACATATAGAGAATATATAGCAAAAATTAGAAAAAGCTATATTTCCAACAGAAGATTAGATAAAAATACTACAAAATCATTAAAGATAAGCCGTATCTACGTAATGACACGGAAAAACATTCAAAACACAATTCTATTAATAGTGACATTTAAAGAATCATTATAAAGAATTTCACCTTCTCAAATATTCCTATAATTTTTGAATATTTACCAGAAAATGTTAACTTTTAAAATGATTATTTTTAAAAGTTAATTTTGGGAAAAACGTGCATAATGTATGTATTCTGAGAAAGACATTAAAGTGAGTGCCCTATTCAGAGTCCCTGTTTCACTCTTTAGGACCCCTGTGTTTGTAATGGGCCCACCTAGGTAATCAGGATTATCTCCCTATTTCAAAAGTCATCTGATGAACAACTGACCTTAACTGCATCTGCAACTGTAACTCTCCTTTGACAGGTAACTGAATTTATTCACAAATTCTAGGGATTAGGATGTGGCATTGGAGAGAGTCATCATTCTGCCTACTAAAGTTTTATAAAAGTATAAAGTTTTAAAAAATAGCTACCTAATATAATTAAAAGATACATGTTAAATGGGAATAAAGGATAATACAATTATTAAACAAAGTTATCCTAAAAAACATAACAAAGGATAAAAATCTAACATACTACTTTTTCTTTTTATGGGTTGTTATATCTAAGAAATCTCTGCCTAACCTAGCTAAGGTTATGAAGATTCTGTCCTATGCTTTCTTCTTGAAGTTTAATAGTTTTAGGACTTTTATTTAGGTCTATGCTCCATTTGTAGGTTTTTTTTTTCATACTGGTGTCTGATTATCCCAGCACCATTTATTGAAGACACTTACATAAGCAGCAATGTGGATTTTCACAAATCTCAAATGCATTATGCTGAGTGGAAGAATCCAGACATAAAATGGATATATACTCCACTATTTCATTAGTATAACATTCTGGAAAAGGCAAAACTATAGGGATAGAAATCAGATCAGTAATTGCCAGAGACCTGGGGAGGCAGCTAACTACAAGACGGGCACGAGGCAACTTTTGGGGACGATGGAGATATTCCATCCCTCAATTACAGTGGTGGTTACATGACAGTACACCTTTGTTAAAACTCAGAGACCTGCACAACTAAAAGGGGTGAATTTTAATTTTATATAAATTATCTTCAATAAACTTGACTTTAAAAATTATCAAATGACAAGATAAAAAGGTATAATTCATTTTGCAGGTGCCTAGACCTTCTGAACCCTAAAAATGTGAACATAATTCAAGTTAAAAATAGCAAAGAACCTGAAAGATAGAAAACTAGATAGTCATCACTCTAGATAGTCAGCCTCTCTTACTCTCCTGCCACTGCCCCCAAATAAAAAGGGAAGAGGGAAATAAAGAATGAGTACCAAATAAGGCATTATCCAATGCCACTGGCTGACTTTGCAGGCAAGTGACCTAACAATTTAACCAATTAAACAAATAAACAAATATAAAGCTAAGCCTGAGAAAAACTAATCAATGAAATAATATTTACCTTTGGAGTCAGCATTTGGGAACAGCCTGTTCCATGGCACCTTATTTTTGTGTGGAAGAGAAAGCAAATAGTTTCTAGCTTTTAAATTTATTATACAATTCAGGTCTTCCTGTGATGGGGATCCAAGAATACCTATCAGATAAAGTAATTAGCTGTTAATTATCAAGACCAAGGCAATCATCAGCAGTGGGACAGAATGAACCCTGGTAATTAACGTCTTCTCACCACCTCCCAAAGCTTATCTTTCTTTACAAGTTTTCACAAAAAGGTCCTTAACATTTTAAATTGGGGACGGTTAAAACTCATGCCTACCATAGATAGGTTAAAGAGTTATTAGAATTCTTCTTAATTTAACAAAGTGACTTTGATGTAAACCACAGGTGGGCAAACTGAGCAAACCTAGCCCCTGCAGTGTTGGAGAACCTTACCCAGAATGTGGTTCAGCTGGTCGAGATAATGCTTCCCTGGAAAGATGGGCCTGTTGGAGAGCATTTCTGCCAGAATGCAGCCTACAGACCAAATATCGATGGACTTGGTATAGCCCTGCAGGAGAGAGGGAAAAAAGGCCAAGAATGATATCTGGTGTTCCACGACACAATGAGCTCTTCCTATATGACAGGTGCATGGCTGACAGGTGTTTGAGCTTCTCCTTTTGAGTCTATGATTCAGAAATATAAGTAGACAGCACAGAAAAACAAAAAATAATTTGGCTTTCTTATGAGAGGTGGAACAACAAAGATTACTTAATTTCCTCTCTTCAAAGTTGATTAATTTATTAAATTAGAATTTCTGAAGTATATGTCAGTCTTTTTTTTTTCCAAACAATTTAAGAGAAAGATTTAGAATTCTTATAAATTGGAGCTGGGAAAAGGAAAAAGTAATAACACTCACTGTTTTTAGCACATTTGTAGCCCATTTGCTCATTACTGAAAACCTGAAAATCAACTCAAAAGGAGGACTTCCAGAAAATCTTTTTTTTTGCCCCTTAAAGATAGGATCTTGCTGTTGTCCAGGCTGGAGTGCCGTGGCATCATCATAGCTTAATGCAACCACAAACTCCTGGACTCAAGCAATCTTCCTGCCTCAGCCTCCCAAGTAGCTGGGACTACAGGTGTGTGCCACTATGCCTGGCTAATTTTTTAAAAAAAATTTTGTAGAGACAAGGTCTTATTATGTTGCCTAGGCTGGTCTCGAACTCCTGGGCTCAAGTAACCCTTCTGCTTTCAGCATGCCAGCACGCTGGGATTACAGGTGTGAGCCACTGTACCCTGCCTCAGAATATTTTTACATATTTTGCAAATCATTTTTTAAAAAGTCAGGTTGGGGCTGGGCGCGGTGGCTCATGCCTGTAATCCTAGCACTCTGGGAGGCCGAGGCGGGTGGATTGTTTGAGCTCAGGAGTTTGAAACCAGCCTGAGCAAGAGCGAGACCCCGTCTCTACTAAAAATAGAAAGAAATTAATCGGACAACTAAAAATATATAGAAAAAATTAGCCGGGCATGGTGGCGCATGCCTGTAGTCCTAGCTACTCGGGAGGCTGAGGCAGAAGGATTGCTTGAGCCCAGGAGTTTGAGGTTGCTGTGAGCTAGGCTGACGCCATGGCACTCACTTTAGCCCGGGCAAAAGAGTGAGACTCTGTCTCAAAAAAAAAAAAAAAAAAAAAGTCAGGTTGGAAAACCTTGATCTCTGGGGGAGAAAAAGTGTGTGCTGGGTCCATCATATTTTACCAATCCCTGTTTTCAACATTCTCATCTTTTTCTATTCATTTTTTAGGTACACATTTTCTTTTAAAGGAATCCCGTTAAGAAAGTCATGGAAGGATTCTGTCTAAATCATAACAGGGCAAAAAAGATGTTTCTCCAAGGAATATAAGTTGAATTTTTTTAGCAGTCTATTATAAGATGGAAATAAGTTGAATTCTATGGAAAATGTCAGGTATAGTGATAAATGGAAGAAATGTGGAAATTTTGAGAAAAAGAAATTTTGAGTCAAATATTAAAATTTAGGGAAATAGTGAATCATTTTGGAAAATCCAACAAAGAATCAGCAATCGGATCTACAGCTATGATAGAATGGGGTTGAATTTTGGAATATTTCTTTGTAAAACTCCTGTAAATCTAAATAATTTTTCCTTTGAGCGAAAGCTAAATAAAGGGAAATACTGACATCACACAAAAAATAAGTAACTAAAACATACCCAGGGCTCCCGGGAGAAAAGGGTGTTCCAGGACTGGGATAGGGAAAGTACAAGATAAGCCTGAAGCATCTAGTGTCAGAAAGCAAGGAAATGCGCAGGGCTGTGGGTAGCTCCCATCTGCCAAATCTGGGACAATCTGAGCATCAATGTACATAATGGTGGAATGGATTAGAAACTACTGAATAAATAAATGGAGAGAACTAAAATACAGAAGGAATGATACAGTTATAAAATCATCAATGGATGGCAAGACTAGTGGGTGAAATGTGGTGAAGAAGACAACTTACAGAGTCTTAAACTACTTCCCCACAAACTGTTATTAATTACAAAAGGGGAAAGGGTAACCTTACAGTGGACACTTGGAGGATACCATCTTAACCAAAAGATCGACATGAACACCAACAATACTGGCACAAACCAAATATGTCTTGTGATATAATGCACTGAGAAGAACAAATCATTGCTTCATGGTATTCATGCCAAAAATGCATGATACAAAATTGAGGGCATTCTACAAGAAAGCTGAACTGCATTCTTCAAAAATGTCAAGGTGAAAAAAAGGCTGAGGAACTATTCCAGATCCTAAAGAAACAAGACAGTGCGATGTATGAGCCTAAACTGGGGTGGGGTGGGGTATTATAAAGGTTATTATTGGAACGATACCAAAATTTGAATATAAACTATGCATTAGATATCAGTGCTAAATTTCCTGTTTCTGATAACAGTACTGTGGTCTTATCAAGGAATACCCTCGTTCTAAGGCAAGGATTTTTAACCTCGGCACTACTGACATTTTGGGCTAAGTAAGTTTCTGTGGTGGGGGCTGTTCTATGCATTGTAGGATGTTTAGCAGCATCTTTGGGCTCTACCCACTTGATGCCAGTAGCAACTCTCCCCTCATTGTGAAAACCAAAAATGTCTCCAAACATTGCCAAATGTCCCTGGGGAACATTAGAACCACTGTTCTAAGGAAACACACACTAAATGTTCAGTAATAAAGGGGTATATTTACAACTTACTCTCAATGACTCAAACACACGGACACAGAATGATAAAACAAATGGGGCAAAGGATAAAATTGGTGAGTGTGAATCTGGGGAAAAGGGTATATAGGGGTTGTATCCAGTGGTTCTCCAAGGGGAGTCCAGAAACCCCTGTGGGTTCCCTCTAGGGCAGTGGTCCCCAACCTTTTTGGCACCAGGGACCGGTTTCACAGAAGACAATTTTTCCTCGGAGGTGGAGCTCAGGCGATGATGCCAATTTTTCCTCGGAGGTGGAGCTCAGGCGATGATGCCAGTGACGGGAAGTGGCTGCGAATACAGATGAAGCTCCCTTGCCAGAGGCTCATCTCCTGCTGTGCACCCCCCCACCCTGGTCTTCAATGTCATGGAAGACAATTTTTCCACAGGATGGGGTGGGGGTTGCTCTGAGGCCCAGTCCCTAACAGGCCGAGGACCTGTACTGGTCTGCAGCCCAGAGTTGGGGACCACAGCTCTAGGGGATCCAAGAGGTCTACACTACTTTTATTACACTACTAAAATGTTTTTTATCTTTTTCACTTATTTGCTCACAAGTATACAAGAAATTTCCCAGAGGCTACATGAGAAATGATGATACTGTACATGAAATGTGACATCTGGAATATCTGCATAACGCAGGGAACCATATTTTCCAAAAGCTTGCTGTTACAAAATCACACATGGGTATGAGTGGGAGGTAGACCAATGGATTTTATAGAATAGCACAAAAAGTTCACTGATAAGGTTTCAGATTTCACATCACAATTAACCTTTAAGAAACTACCACTTGTTGAATTTTGGTATAGTATCAAAGAATAGCCACAAATAGCCGAAAGACTATTAAAATTTTCCTTTTTTCCAACTACGTGTCTCTGTAAAAATTTTTCTTCAGTAACTTAAACCCAAACAACATACTGACAGACTGAATGCAGGATCAAATGCACATCCAGCTGTCTTCTATCAAGCCAGACATCAAGGAGATTTGTAAAAATGAAAACACTGCTCTTCTCACACAAATATTCTTGTTGTGGGTTTATTATTTAAAAATGAATCAACACATTTTTAAAGTTTCAGTTTTAATTTCCATATTGTAAATAATAGATATAACCTACATAAATAAAACCTGTGTGTGGGTCTTTGATAATTTTTAAGAGATTTAAAGGGATCTTGAGGCCTGAAGGTTTGAGAATGGCTACATTATACTTTTCTGAAAGTTAAATTCTACCAAAATAAAATGTCACAATATGTACACAGAGTGCTCTAGCTTGCCAAAACCGGGACAGTATGAGTTAAAAAAGAAAAAGAAGATAATGGACAGCACATTAAAAAAAACCCCACGAGTCCATAATAGTGTTTTAAAAACAAAGGTGAGAGACAGAGGAAGAGAAAGGGAAAAAAGGAAAAATTCTTCATAGAAGAATGCCAGCTAAAAAATGTAAAAGGATAAATAAATTTAGAAAATTAACATTTTATAACCCCAATATGGTAACTGATAGAAGGAAGGGGCATCGAAGGGTGCTGAACCACTGGGAGCAGATGCAGGGACAGAGGAGAGTCACATATGCAGTCTCCAGGAATCTATAATGCCCATGCGGGAAACGAGTGACCTACACCTGATCAGGGAGAACCAGTCCGAAGAATCCAGGATGTGAACCATTCTATGAAACTGATCTGTACTGATCTGCAAAGTATGTCTTGAAGAAGGGTGGGAAACTGCTCTAGACCAATAATGATGTGTGAAACTTCACTAGATCACGCACTGAAAACAAAACAAAGAGCTATAAAGACAGGAGAAGAAAGAGGAGAGGAGAGATGAAGAGGAAGAGAGGGAGGGAGGAATAAAGAATATGGCAAGATGTTAACAGCTGATGAACCAAGTTTAGGGGTCTAGGGGTGTTCACTGTACTTAGAAGAAAATCAACACAGCATTTTCTTCTTTGAAACAGCTGTTACACCAAATCTTTCTTTATAATGGAATTTATTTTAATGGGATTTTACTTTTATAACTCAACTGAACAAATGTAGGATATCAAGAATAACTAACTGAACACTTTGAATAAATTCCCTTTCTTTACAAAAGCAATCTAATACCTCTCCCGTATTCATAAACATGGAGGGAAAGATGAAGCCTATGAGCTCGTTAGATCCATCCCTTTCACTCCCGTTAAGCCTCTCAGGACTATTCTAGTGCCTGGGCTCCAGTGCAAGAGCCACTGTCTATTTTTACTGCTTTCCTTCATGTGTCTTTACTGCTGTAAAGCAGACGGCCTCGTGTTTAACAATCACATAGTCTTGAGATACTAGATATAGGTAGTATGTCAGGCCCACTTAATTACCCAATTTTCACACCTTATTCATATACTACTTGCAAATGGCATAGTAAAAATACTGAATCTCAGTCTCCTTAATAGCTCTCAATTTTTGCCTCCTGGCTTACAAACCTAATAAAGATGTCATGCTTTATTTTTTCTTGCTTTTATAAATATATTCAACCACTTCTTACAACCAAGACATACACAGACCCTGCTAGCAGAGTGTGGATGTGACCTGGATGCACTCTCCACAGGCACCTGGAGACACAGAGGAAGGCCCTTCACTGGGAGGCGGGATGACCATATAATTTCAAAAGAATCCAAAGCAGTTTCTATTCTTTCCACACCTATGTCTTCTTCAAGTACAACATTATGCTATAATTCTGCCAAAGAGACCTTCTTCATTATCGGATAAATCTGACCTTTACAGAACAACCCTGGCCCGTGTTCACAGTAATACACATTACTGGATAACCTCTAACACAAACCCACCTGCACCTGGAAGGGCAGCTGCAGGTGAGAAAGCAGCCACAGGCAGGACTTTAGGAGAGCTGACTGAGGGTGGGTAACAGTGACTGCAGAGGCACACCCTCCAACAGGTCAGCACTACTCTGGCTGAGGCCGAGAAGCTGAATCCCAGGGCCCAGAGTTCAATGCTGAACAAGGAGATTTCAAGGAGATAAGACACTGCCTTGGCTCTGACCATACAGGCCAAGCCTCAACCCAAGAGGAAACAGAGGCTGGAGAGGGAGGCTTACTGCAACACATTTAGAAAGTTCTCTTATTTCCTGTGTTTTTTTAATGCAAACTTGGTCCTTACCTTGGAATTCAACATAATTTCCGGAGCCCTGTACCAACGTGTGGCTACATACTCTGTCAGGAACCCTGTGTGATCATGGTCCGGATCTGCAACACGGGCCAGGCCAAAGTCGCAGATCTAGGAGAAAAAAAACAAGATACCTTCTTAGAAATTTTAACCAGCTTGATATCAAAACATCACAAAAATTAAAAAGACAATAACATTAATAATGATAATAAGTAGCTGCTACCATTACCATGTGGCAGATTACATTGCTGGGAATTCTACAAACTCATTATTTAATCCTCCCAACAACCTGAAAGGCAGCAATGACGATCCACATATCAGAGTCTAGGACACAGGCTGAAGGAATCTTTAATGGGACACAATTCATTATCTGTTTAGCACAAAGCAATCTCACTTAGGTGATTTGACAAAAACTGTTCTGGTAAAGTCACCCTGGGACCTTTCTTGGGCCCATCCTGCTGGAGTTCTGGGATTGCTGGGAGAATTGCACTGACCTTCTATTTCTCAGACTCTATTTCCTGCTAGTCTTCTATTCAGTCCATGAATACATTAAATATTTCCAGATTCTTCTCACTTCCCTCCCCTTCCAGGTAGTCAAATCTATTCTCAGAGCTTTTAAAAAAAATTTCATATACTAAAGATATACCATTTTCTTTCTTTCTTTTTTATTTTATTTTAAGATGCTAAATTGGGTCTAGGATTTTTTTTTTTTCTTAATACCCAGCTTCTCATTTTCTACTGACTCACAAAAGCACCTGCTGGCCTTTCATCATCTGGCCCTCCAATACTGTGGTGCTACTTGGGGTCAGGGACTTTGCTAGACTCCAACATATATAAAATACCACTATAATGAATTTAGTCTCATACAACTACAGGGTATTTTCATTCTTTGGCCCCCGGAGAACTAACTCAAGAGACAGACATGTCAACAAAAACAGGCCAGAATATAGTAGAAGGTAGCTTGGAATAAAGACTACTTTGGAGGCTTATTGCATTAAGTCAGCTAAGAAAAGATAAGGGCCTGAACTCAGGCCATAAAAATGGGGACAAGGAGGAACAAGTCTAAGAGATCTTCACAGGACCTGGAGCCTATCTGGATATCAGTCTGCTTAGATATCCCATAGTTGAATGCTTCGATAATTCAGAAAGATTCAGAGAGATCCCATTCCCTTCCCAGTATCTTCCTCTAGCCTTCCCCACCTTAAAGGCCAGCATCACCAGGTAGCACCTTTGATTCCACAGGCCCTACCACTTGCTCCCACTGCAGCATCTGAGAAAAGCTCCACATCTGTGTTGCAGAATTTCTCAGTCTCCTGAGACCATCACTGCATCGTCAAAAGGAGCCAAGAGTGATCTACTTCTCCAGTGACTCCTCTGCAGACCACTTTGCACATGAATGCTCACACGGCAGAGCAGTGAGGAAATCCTGTCTTCTGTGGTTGTGGCTGTGGACTCCAGCCACTGTGGTCTCTCAGCCGACATCACCTCCCCTATGAGCCCTGGGCCTCTCCTGGCAAAGCTGGCTTGGCTTGCCATTACGCCCTCTGATAGTCGCAGACCTCTGAGAGGAGCTGGTTGAGGTGGCCATAAGCTCTTGAAGGGGATCACTGTTAAGTTCTAACTTCTGCTTGACTGATCTTGAGGCTTTTCAATGTACCTGCATCTAAGTTTTTTCTTTAGAGACTTTTCTACCAGTTCCTGTAAAGTAAACTGCAGGAAGAGCTCCCAGTACTCATGCCCAGGAGGTTCACTAGTAACATGATGCCGGCTGGCATGATTTCCAATTCAGGGAAACAACGAACGACTGATTTCTTCTTATGCCTGAAGGGGGGGCCCTCTGGCCACTCAGAGCCATCCCTTGCCACGCTGGGCTATCATCGTTCCATTTCCATTCTGTGTGGTTTCAGTTTTTCAGTATCTCTGTGACACAGTTTCTCTTTTTTTCAGGGTTAACAGTTCATCTTCTGATTCAAGTTCAACCAAAGCTCACCACTCTGCCTTCTGTGGTATAAATGGATACCTGAAGCCACATTGTGAATCGTGCAATCAGAGAAGAAATACTGCACAGTCAGCAGAGCAAAACCAGGGCAAATCCCAGAATGTGCGCACACATCCTTCACTGCCCTCAGTGCCTGGCGTCACACAGAATGAATGCGTCTAGACTTGATACACAGCTTTTCACGGCTCAGTTAAATCACAAAACAAATCTCAGATGAAAAAAAACCACCCAGGGCCAGGCATGGTGGCTCACGCCTGTAGTCCCAGCACTCTGGGAGGCCGAGGCGGGAGGATCGTTTGAGCTCAGGAGTTCGAGACCAGCCTGAGCAAGAGCGAGACTCCATCTCTACTAAAACAATAGAAAGAAATCAGCTGGACAACTAAAAATATGTATAGAAAACATTAGCCGGGCATGGTGGCGCATGCCTGTAGTCCCAGCTACTTGAGAGGCTGAGGCAGGACTGCTTGAGCCCAGGAGTTTGAGGTTGCTGTGAGCTAGGCTGACGCCACGGCACTCTAGCCTGGGCAACAGAGTGAGACTCTGTCTCAAAAAAAAAAAACCAAAACAAAAAACCCAAAAAACCCCAGAATATAAGAAATCAATAGATCAATGAAGCCAAGGATTGAGGATGATGTCCCCACATTCCCCTAGGATTTATAGACAAAGAAATGGGAAGCTGTACTTTAGAGAGCTTGATCAGATTCTTAAATTTCTATAAAGACAGGGAAAAGTGCTCTGAATAACTTTAAACTCAGTTGTGGCAGGCTGTATTTTCTATAGAGGGCCACATCGATATAACCAAGCCTCCATGCTCTTCTTACAAACTCTCTGGTTGAACTTGTATTAGTATCAAGAGGTGGGGTCCATCTTCCATCTTCTTGAATCTGGGTGAACCTTTTAAACTGCCTGAACTAAAAGAATACAGTATAAGTGATGTTGTGTGATGTCTGAGGCTACATCATAAAATGCAATATGGCTTCTACCTGGCTCTCTCTCTTCTAGGGTACTTGGAACCCTCTGCCCATGTTGTGAGGAAGCCCAGGCCACATGGGCCACACATGGGCATTCTAGTCACAGTCAGCATCAACAGCCAAGCACACGAGTGATAATTCTAGCCCCTCCCTTCGCATCTTCTAGCAGAGGCCCAGACACTGGGGAGAGACCAGCTGTCCCTGCTACACCTTAACTGAATTCCTGACCCAACAAAACTGTGAGGTAATGTATTACTGTTGTTTTAAGTCACTACATTTTCAGGTGATTTGTCATAGAGAGAGAGAAAACAGTGGTAATGGGCAGAGTGACTCTCTAAGGAAGACCCATGTAAAATGATACTGAAATCCTGCAGAGATGTCAGTCAAGGAAAGACCTGGGGAAACAAGAGCAATGTCCTAGAGAAAGAAGCAGTGGGGCATGTGGGCGAGGGACACTATAGTTGGAACCTCCTAAAATGTCTCTTGAATTGGCTCTTACATCTCAACTGCCATTACCTTAGTTTGGACTCAGTTTTGGACTTAGGTAAAAGCTAGTCTCCCTGTCGCAGTCTAATTCATCCTCTAAATTCCTGCCTAAGCATTACTTCTAAAAGATCAGTCATCTCTCTGGCTCAAAATCTTTTAACCAATCCTCTCTGCCTACTGAATGAAGATCAAATTATTTAAGCATGACTCTCGAGACCATTCTCAAACTGCCACCAAACTATCTTCCATATCTCTTATCTTCTACCATCAGCTCTGTCCCCGCATCTGATCCTATTTACTCTAGACCTACACCTCTCACCCTGAACTGTGCAATACCATCTCAATTGTGTGTCTCTATCCATGCCGTTACTAACCCCGAATACTCAGCTGGAAAGTTTCCTCTTCTGAGAAATTTCCCGGGCATCAACACCACCCCCAACAATTAATTGGTCACTTTTCTGAACTCCCCCATACTATTCTGTTAGACTTACATTAAAGCACACAACCATAATTCATGATAATTAGCTGTAAGACCCAGCTAGAATGTAAGTCCCAAGAAAAAGGCAATATTTGACCTACTTTTTATTTCTAAGTGTCTTATACATAGTGTACATTCAACATTTGGTGAGTAAATGCCCTACTTTAAATGTTCATAGGAAACAAAACAACTGGGGTGGATTAATTGGCAGAGATTCTCATAATGACCATTTTTTCACAATGTCTGAATTACCGATAATCTTTTAAAAATAAAAATCAGGGTACAGAGTACCAGGGCTAACATCATAATTTTAAAAATGTTAATACAATTATATTTTCAAAGTGGCAATATTAAAGAAGGAGGAAAAATTAAAAATGGGAATAGCATTCCTTCATGACGAAGGACAATTTACACTGTCATTTTGAATGATGCAGTATGTCTATGCCTATTTCTTTAAAACTAAAACCAAACATGTAGCTGTTCTTTCGTATTCCTATCTTCTAAGAAATTCAGTCCAAAAGCCATTAAGTGGGGTCATGCAACGTTAAGGGTCCCCAGGGGGTGAGGAGAAACACAGCAGCCTGGTAGGGCATGTAGCATCTAAGTGGAATTAAGAGGGGGCTCAAGAGTCTGGATATGGGCTGGGCATGGTGGCTCATGTCTGTAATCCTAGCACTTTGGAAGGCTAGGTGGGAAGATCGCTTGAGCCCAGGAATTTGAGATTACAGTGAACTATGATCGTGCCACCACAATACAGCCTGGGTGACAAAGCAAGACCCTGTCTCTTAAAAAACAAAGAATTTGGATCGGGTCTATGTGTGAGATGAGGAGTGAGCCCATGTAGGGGAGGCAGTGGCAGCCCACCCAGGGGACTGGAATCCCAAGAGGATGATACTGCACAAATCAATTTCATTGGGGGTTGCAAAATGGTGACTTTCCTAGTTTTACTATTCCCTCTCCACTTATTAGCTGGCATTCTTTTTAAAAAAGGGCTATGGTTCATCAACTGGGGTATCTGTCTACTCTGATGAACAGATCCTAGTGGATTTCCTACTGGAAAGACAGGGAAAATGTTTCTTTTCCTTTACCAGTTTTCATAGTGAGTTAGTATAAGGGGGACCATGTTTTATCACTGCGTCACCCACATCTAGTAAAAGGCATAGAACTAGTAGGTTCTCTAAAATTACTAGTTACAATTTAAAAAATAAAGATGGAGATGTGAGCCTCAGACCTTTAAAAGATTTCACAACTCCACAATTATCAATGGAAAGCTCAGGTGATTTTTTTTGGTAAGGTTCTCTTAACACTACAATACCTAAGACTAACCAAATATACATGGCATTAACAAGTACACTGCCAAGGCTACAAGATGAAAAAGTAGTAGTACCTCAGTATAATTCCATACAAAGGAAGACAGAAAACTAGGACATGGTGCAAGAAAACAAAATGACCGATCAACTTTTGCACCTGTTGTGTAAATTCAAATTTTTTAAAAAACTAAGGAATCCCCAAAGACATGTTTCATTTTGTATCTTCCAGTGTGCTCCTTCACAAAGTTTCACATGCTGTGATCCCAGCATCCTGTGACTCCTACTGGGATTTCTGTGGGGTGAGTCTAGCAAACGAGAACACAGACTGGCATGGACTACATCCCCCTGGTAGTTCCACTAAAAATATTCTAGCAGAAACTCCAAATAGGGTCTGTAACCATTGTGTGTTCCTGTGACCCTGAAAAATACAGAAAAAGTCTACAAGACAGGGTCCCAGAAGGGTCCTGAGAGGTCAGCATCTGCTGGTTCTCAAGACTTTGGATAATAAGTGTAAAGCATGTATGTTTTTGAAAACCAAAAAGAAAGTTATTGCTGTTGGCTTTGAGTGATACCAGAGTCGAAACAAAAGTTAAAGGTCTAAGACACTGAGAATACCAGATATCATGAGGGTTCAAGAGTCGGCAACACTTTAGTAATATAGAAGCCAACGGAAAAATAAAGAAATGACAGAACCGCCTGCTTGGAAATGGAAAAGGATCTAAATAACAAATCAGTAAGGCCGCAGGTTACAAATTTCCTAGGCAATGGGGCATGTGGGACAGGCACCACGGTTGCTACAAAGCACTGAGGATGTGACAGGTGTGCAGTGATCCCCAAGCTCAGCAAACAAGATGCTTCTCCCCACTGGCACTCTCTCAGCTGTCACATGTGCACCCTGAACTGCCACGCACTCTGTCCTGCTTGGACACATTCACCGTGACAAAGCAGTGACTTCAGTGACACACTGTACTCATCTTTGGAATGAAATTCTCTCTTCTCACATTTATACCCACGTGAATTATGCACACTTGAGTCATAGTACATTTTAAAAATGTGAGTGAACTGTACTACTTTAAATATCTAAAATATCCTGTTCTGTTTCTAATTCTGTGTGTTAACTTGAGTTTTGAAAACACTGCCTGGATTATGCTGATAGCCAACAACTCATATATATCAGGGTAAGTGTGAGTTTTGGTGAGTAGGTGAATAAAACGGCCCTAGGTAAAGATTAAGTCCATAAAAAGTGAAGAGGTAACAGAGAAAATAGTCTGATTCTGTTTGTTTTATTCTTAAGGATGAACATTTTCAAGCAAAAATAAGAGCTAACTCTTCCCCAAAATATTATATACTTAAAATATTAAGAATGTCTCTCCAAAAACAAAAACAATCTGCCATAACGGGGTTGTGATAAGAAACCAAAAGAAAAAAGATGAGGAGACATAAAAATATTTACTGTAATTTTTCAAGAAAATCGGTAAGAGCCAAAGAAGTAGTCTGGCAGTTCCTAAAAGCAGTTTCATTTCTTTTGTGCTCACTTGGCTTTTAGTTGCACAGATCTGGGGAAAGGAGTTGGTTACATCCCACGTGGACAGTACATTGATCTATATCAGAAGGATCCTAAGAGGTGACAGAGTCCAACCACACATACCTGACAAAGGAAGTTGTATTCCATAAAGTCCCACTGGATGTTGACCACTCTGTCTCAAACAACCAGTGACAGTACATAAGGTGACCACCTGAAGACAGAACCCACTACCTTTTTTAGATAGCTCCATAAGGTTCTCCATGATCAACTTCCCAACAACCTCATCAGCTTAGTGTCAATGACGCCGTATTACTCACCCAACACTGCAGCCACAGAGAAGAGGATTTAATGTTTTATGTAGTAGTCCCTTATTTCTTATTTCTATTTCTGTTGTTCCTTTTGCCTACGATACTCTATGCCCAAGATAGCTGTTCATCTCCTACAGGAAAGCCAGCCCTTCCTCAGGGGGCTAGCATGGATACCACCTTCTTCTTGCCATCTCTCACAGCCCCAGCCAGAACTAGCCCACCTCCCTCCTTTGCATTTGTATACCACTCTTTGCTTTATCTGAGTTACATCACATATTATTATAATCATCAACTAATAGCAGATTTCTGACCTAACAGTTTTCAGATTTCGGGGGCAGATGCTCATCTCCCTTGCCTGGTATACCTTACAAGGCTTCTCAAAGGAATGTCAAACTGAATTCCAAGAAATGATTATTGCTATATGCACTTGTTAAATGGCTTTATCAAGATATAGTTCACATACCATACAATTCACCCATATAAACTATACAACTCAATCATTTTTAGTATTATAATCATAGGGTTATACAATCATTACCAGCATCCAATTTGAGAACATTTTTATAACCTCAAAAAAGAAACTCCAGATTGAATTAGCACCTCTCTCCACTCCTCCCCCATCTCACCAGCCCTAGGGAACCACTAATCTACTATCTCTATGGATTTGCATATTCTGGACATTTCGTATAAATAGAATCATACAATATGTGGTCTTCTGTGATTGGCTTCTTTTACTCACATAATGCTTCCAAGATTCACCCATGTTATAGCATTAGTACTTCACTCCTTTTTATTCCATTGTGTGGATCTACCATGTTTTATTTATCTATCATCAGTTGGACATCTGGATTATTTCCACTTTTTGGCTAGAATGAATAATATTGCTATGAACATTCATGTACAAGTTTTTGTGTGGCTCCATGTTTTCACTTCACTAGGTATATACACCTAGGAGTGGAATCCTCGCCAACGTTTATTATCTGACTTTTTGATTATAGCCATCCTAGTGCGTAGTATGAAATGGTATCTCATTGTGATTTTGATTTGCATTACTCTACTGACTAATGATGGAAAGCACCTTTACATGTGCTTATTGGCCATTTGACTTCTTTAGAGAAATGTCTATCTAGATCCTTTGCCTATTTTTTAATCAGGCGATTTATCTTTTTATTACTGAGCTATAAGGGTTCTTCACATATTCTAGTTATAAGTTCCTTATCAGATATATGATTTGTAAACATCTTCTCTCATTCTATGGGTTGCCTTTTTACTTTCTTGCTGGTTTGCTTTATAGCACCTTTCTAGTCTTGATGGAATCCACTTATCTTTTTTCATTTGTTGCTTGTGCTTTTGGTGTCATTCTAAGAGGCTTTGCCTAACACAAGATTGCAAAGATTTACTACTATGTTTTCTAAGAACATTAAAGTTTTAGCTCTTAAATGGAGTTCTTTGATCCATTTTACTAATAAGTTAATTTTCTCATTCTTTTGCATGTGGCTATTCACTTGTCCCAGACTTTTTTTTTTTTTTGAGACAAGGTCCTGCTCTGTTGCCCCAGCATGAGGACAAGGGCACTAGTATAACTCACTGCAGCCTCAAACTCCTGAGCCCAAGCAATCCTCCTGCCTTGGCCTTCGAAGGTGCTAGGATTACAGCTGTGGGCCACTGTGCTCAGCCTGAAAAGACTATTCTTTCCTCAATGAACACTTGGCACCCTTGTCAGTTGACTATAGACATGGGTTTATTTCTGGACTCTCAATTCTATTCCACTGATCTGTATGTCCGTCCTTATGGCCGTAGCAAAATGTCTTGATAACCACAGTTTTGTGTAAGTGATCCTCCCACCTTAGCATTCCAAGTAGCTGGGACTACAGGCAGGTGCCACCACGCCTAGCTAATTTTTTTTTTTTTTGAGAGACAGGGTGTTGCTATGTTGCCCAAGCTGGTCTTAAACTCCTAGCTTTAAGCGCTCCTCCTGCCTTGGCCTCCCAAAGTGCTGGGATTACAGGCATGAGCCACTGTGTCCAACCCTGTGGTAAGTTTTGAGATCAGGATTGTTTCGGCTATTCTTGGTCTCTTCAATTTCCGTATGAATTTTAGGATCAGCCTGTCAATTTCTGCAAAAAAGCCAGCTGGGCTTTGATAGGGATTGTACTTAATCTGTAGATCAATTTGGGGAATACCACCATCTTAACAATATAGTCTTACAATCCACAAACAAGGGATGTCTTTCCATTTATTCAGGTCTTCTTGAATTCCTGTGCATTTTTATTAGACTGAATCCACATCTCTTCATTACATCTAAAACACCTACAAATTTCCCTGCTTATTTAGCTCTGACACCTATTAAAATGGAAATATATAAACGTACATCTTCAGGAGAACTCTTGAGGACTGTAAAGGATCTTGGGTTTCCCTATTTATTTGAAATGACTTATTAGGTATTAACGTCAGTGAGGTTAAGTTTTCTGCTGATTTTGTATAAAATTTATTGAAGAAAAAAGTCACCAGTGAAAACAGATGGTTTAAACTTATACATAACGTACATGATCCTATTTACCTATACATAGTGTAAAAGTATGTAAGTATGTAACAGTATAGGAAAAACTCTGGAGAAAATAAGCCCATTTTGGTCACACTGGTTAGTTATTTCTGGGGAGGAAGGAGCAACGGCATGAGAAAGAAGACAAGTAGCACTCTTTACCAGTATTTTTGCCATAAAAATGTTTTTGTGAAAAAAAAATATTTTCGTGAATTTCTGGTATAATTTTAAATAGGAGTAATGATAAATATAACTATGCCACAGTAAAAGCTATGCCTCAGTGTTTTCAATACATATCATCCTAAGAGTAAATAACTGGCTGACCTTAAGATCGCAGGTGGTATTGAGCAGCAGGTTGGAAGGCTTGAGGTCACGGTGCAGAACGTTGGCTGAGTGGATGTATTTTAACCCTCTGAGGATCTGGTAAAGAAAATAGCAGATGTGGTCGTTGCTGAGGTGTTGTGTCTTCAAGAGTTTGTAAAGATCTGTTTCCATGAGGTCCTGTACTATATATCTGTTTGAACAGGTTAAGGTAAAATACCAATTAGCTGGTTACACTTAGCCAAGCACTGAAAACGAAATGTACCCTCTCTTTACCTTCTTCCCAAACAGTCCATCATGAGGCCCCTTAAGGGCAAGGAGAAACTGATAAAAACTTGGTATACCTTCACAGAGGGATCTAAAGCAGTTAGCTCCTTTTAGGCCCTGTGAGACAACAGGCATTACACCTGCCTGATGTGTCTGGTTATGGGTCTAGACTAAGACCAGAAACAGGCTGTTACGGAAATACTGGCCAATCTTGAAGTCTCAATAACCTTGTTCCCTAAATTGTTCACCATCAACAAACCCCCTCTAAGGCTTGCTGGAAAAGGCTGGGAAAGGGTGGTGGCCAGCAGACATCATATACTCCCTCCTCTCTTTGGCCCAGCAACAACCCCTAATGCCACTATTCTTTCTCCTTCCTTCTTGCCACTCCTCTCCTCCCCTCCCAAACTCCTCAAACACCAGCCATAAAACTTCTGGAGATACAGGTCTAGAAATACACTGCTGCTACTACTAAATCCAACCCTAAGTCTATTTTCTTGGCTCTTCAATTAATGTTAAGATCCTAAATAAATAAGACTATGGGGAAGTCATGCTAAGAAGGGGTTTGTGCTAATTTTGCTTTCTTGCCAAGCCATATATCTAAGTACCTAAAACTTTAGCTACAGCTATCTTCTTTCTTAAAGAAATTAAATTATAAAGGCCTTTAGCTTTTAACTTCACCATATTATTTCATTTTGCATTTCTTTTATTCATTTCTGTGTAGACGCTATTCTCTGTCTCCTACAGATTAACGCTAGATGAGACACAGCATGGAATTCAAAGGAAACATGACTTAAAAATCTGTCATCTAAGAGAGGCTCATTTTCATGGCAAAAGGTAAAGCAGGATCAACAGGTGGTAGTGGCAGGAGGCATTTTACTTCAAATATCACTGCAACTTATTAACAGAGCTGTTTAAAAATGGAAAGGGCTGCCTAGAGACAGTGAGCTGCCGCTCCCTGGAGGGGCGGAATGCAAATTGGACAAGCTGGTGGGAATGCTCTGTTAGCCTAACTTTTTTTCTTCTGGCAGATCCTCTTCAGCATACTTAACACCCTTCCTCTTTACAACGTAGCCTTTACGCAGGCAGCATCCTCTGGACCTGCTTAGCCCAGATTTCTAAATGTCAGTCACAGTCATATAATTTCAGAGGTGGGTCGGCCTTAAAGATCATGAGGGCCAGCCTCCTTCATTTCAAAGATGAGGCAGTCCTGATTTCACCAGGTAGATATCCAGGGCACCCCCTTTCTTCATCTACAACTCTTTCCCTTCCCTTTTCCCCATCTTAACAAACCATCCCTTGAATGGAAAAAAACGTTACTGGAAATACTAACCAAGACTTATTTCCATAACTACACTTAAAGAAAACTCTTTACAGAAACTGAAAGAGAAATATTGGATTTACCTAAAAGATATTAAAATTAGTTATTGACAACTGGTAAAACAAATTAGAGAAAAACTTTAAATGATACAAGTATTACGGTAAATAGAGAGCAGCTTACAATTTCCCCTTTAGTGTGCTTATTTAATGCAGTTTTCCTTTATTCTAAGTTGAAGAAATTTCAAGTTATATTTACTCAACAAGGTGACCAAGCAGTGGAATCAGCTAGTTGCCTGAAAAGGATACACATCTTTCATTTGCTCGATGGTTGGCGCTCGAATAATATCATTGATTCCAATGATGTTCTCATGTCTGAAGCGCAGTAAGATTTTTATCTCCCTCAGCGTTCTCTGGCAGTAGGTCTGGTGCTCAAAAGGACTGATTTTCTTGATAGCTACTCGAACTTTGTTGACATTATCATAAGCAGAGCTTAAAAAAGAGAGAGAGAGAGATGGCATTAAAAACAGCCCACCAGAACATCTTGGCAGAAAAAATGCAAAGTGGTAATGTATTAAATTTTTAACACTTCATGTAAACACTTGTTTCATACCAGTGAAGGTGGCATGTATATCACCCACAAAAAGGCCTTAAGATAGGGAGGATGGATGCAGCTGACACAAGATTGTAGATACTGAAGCTCAAAGTTAACAGAGGGCCCAACCCTGTGAACTGTGTGGATGCCCATTTTCATAAACTCAGAAACAGGGGTTCATGCCACACACACACACACACACACACAGCATTTTCTCACTGTCTTACTAGCAACCGCATTCTGCTGAGAGAAATCACTTTTGCCTCCAAAACAACTTCCTACTCTTGTATTGAATTCCTTTGACTTAGCAGAAACATTCAAATGACCATCAACCACATTTTCAACCCTAACAAAAATGGACCAAAGAGGCCGACACCTTGATTACTTGTATAAAAACTTTCTCTTACTTACAAAATGACATGACTACTTCTTCCCCCTCCACCACAAGAAATTGAACCAAGATGTTTGGACAGGTTTATAACAAAACCTAAGAAACATTCATCAAAAATACCTTTGTAGCAATAACACCAGGCCCAGTTCTTTCCAAGCTGCCCGCAGGTCTGGCTTAATAGAAATCCGAGCAGAAGATATAATAAAAATTATATCGATTTTATGATAAAATTGAATCTTGAGTATTACTGTTCTCTTTATGATCAATATTTTACTGAAACCTTTTCTGTAAGAGCTTTTCATATTAATAAATGTCCATATCTGGTCCATTGACCAAAGCAATGCAGTAATATTGACAGGTAATAAGATATTACTTCTTGTTTCCTCAGGGTAAGTACTAGAAATATAAAACAGTAAAATAACTTTATCCTAAAGCTTGTGTTTCTATAATGATATTTATCAGTCTGCTTTAAGGACTATTGATATGTCTGTCTGATTCCAGGCAAGACTATGCTCTGGGAAGGACTTTGTCTTACTCAGCTCCAATTATCCCACATGCCCTTAATACACTGCACATAGGTGCCCCCAAATACTTTGAAATAAACTATACTTCTTAATTAAAAGAATCACCACTCAAATCTTATTTTGTTTTGGTCTGTTGCATAAGGGCAAAACCAGTGATTTTCAGGTAGGCAGGCAAAGAGATATTTAGTTTAAGCAAGCTTATTCAATACTGGGAACAAATATTTTTAGAAATAAAAATTCTTTTTGAGTAATTCAAATCACAGACCATGAGTTCAACAAAAGAGAACATGGATTAAAATAGCTGCAAAATACTGGTTTAAACTCAACATTACAAAGGTAAAGACAGTAGTCAAATGCAGCCATAAATTTGCTTTACAAAATTACAATCCAATGAGATTGCTGGAGGGAGGAGCTTATGGTCAGAGTGTTTCTCTATTGTATTAATATCAATACTCACTCAGTTATGACATAAATAACCAACTGACCCCCTTTTAGGTAAGAAAACATGAGATCATTTTCACCTCCTCTGTCCATGGAGTTCGGTTTGTTTCTGTCTGTTCTACCTATCCATTCTACTGCCTTTTTGGTTTACACAATCTATCTTTCATAGAACTGATCACAAAGAAGTTACACTCTTCCATAACAACCCTATATTTGCTCCTTTCTCCTTGGATTTCTCAGTTCTGTTTTATATATTTTATTGTTCTGATACTCGGCAAATAAGGTATATCATGGATTTTTTGGTGTCTCTTAATAGTTTGTGCTTTAAAATCACTTTGATACTACTGATCCTGTTTTGTTTTTCTCTAAGAGTTTAATCTTTGCCCATTCCTCTTTTGTCCCCAACTACCACCATACCACAGCTTTTTGCTGTAACTTTGTTTCTTATAAACAACTTACAGTTTCAGTTTGGGATTTTAATCCAATTTATGATTATATAATCTTTAGATGCGTTATTTATTTTTATATATTTTTTCTCTTAACTGATAAATTTGCTCTTTTCAAAACCAAAAATTAAGGTTAAATAAATTGTTCAAGGTTAAGAGGATGATGTTTCCTAACTCATCCCAGTAAGAGAAATATTACATATATGTGTAAACTAGAACCCAAACTAAAGACCAATCTTTTTTCTAAACACAAGCTTGAAAATCAACTAAAAATAAATGAGTAAACATGATTTGACAACACATTAAAAGAACAATTATGACCAAGTAACATTTATCACAGGAATCCAAGGATGGTTCATTAAAAAGGAACACATTAAAAAGACATCATGTTGAATAGACATTTCTGCAAAGAAGATATATAAATGGTGAAGAAGCATATGAAAAGATGCTCAACATCAATCATTCATTAATCGTCATTAGAGAAATGCAAAGCAAAACCACATGAGCTCTCACCTCAGACACATCAGGGTTTCCACTATTGAAAAACAGAAAAATGCTGGTGAGGATGGGGAAGAAACTGGAACCCTATGCGTGATCAGCAGGCACATAACACAGTACAGCCACTATGGAAATTCCTCAAAAAATTAAAAAGTTACTATATGATCCAGCAACCCCACTTTTGGGTATATATTCTAAACAATTCCAAGCAGAATCTCAGAAAGCTACTGGTACACCCATGTTCACTGCAACACGATGCACACAGCCAAGATGTGGAAGCAACCCAAATGTCCACTGACAGATAAATGGATAAAAAAAATATAGCATATGCATACAATGGAATATTATTCTGCCTTAAAAAAACCAAGGAAATTTAATTCAATATCCTCTCATGACTTAAAAACTCTCAACAAATTAGGTATAGAAGCAATGTATCTCAACATAATAAAAGCCATGTATGACAAGCTTACAGCTAACATACTCGACAGTGAAAAGATCATGAACAAGAGAAGAATGCCCACTCTCAAAACTTCTATTCAACATAACGCTGGAAGTCCTAGCCAGACCAATTAGGCAAGAAAAAGAACTAAAAAGCACCCAAATCGGAAAGAAAGTTAAATTGTCTGTTTACATATGACATGATCTTATATTAATATACAGAAAACCCTAAAGAATCCACCAAAAAACTGTTAAAACTAATAAATTCAGTGAAGTAGCAGGACACAAAAATCAACATACAAAAATCAGTTGGGCTGGGCGCGGTGGCTCACGCCTGTAATCCTAGCACTCTGGGAGGCCGAGGCGGGTGGATCGCTCAAGGTCAGGAGTTCGAGACCAGCCTGAGCAAGAGTGAGACCCCATCTCTACTAAAAATAGAAAGAAATTATCTGGACAACTAAATATACATATACAGAAAAAAATTAGCCGGGCATGGTGGCGCATGCCTGTAGTCCCAGCTACTCAGGAGGCTGAGGCAGGATTGCTTGAGCCCAGGAGTTTGAGGTTGCTGTGAGCTAGGCTGACGCCACGGCACTCTAGCCCGGGCAACAAAGCAAGACTCTGTCTCAAAAAAAAAAAAAAAAAAAAAAAAAACAGTTGTATTTCTATATACTAACAAAAAACTATCCAAAAAAGAAATTAAGAAAACAATCCCATTTATAATAGCATCAATAAAATAAAATACATAGGAATAAATTTAGCCAAGAAGGTGAAAGATCTGTACAATGAAAGTGCTAATGATGGAAGAAACTGAAGAAGACATAAATAAATGAAAAGCTATCCTGTGTTCATGGATTGGAAGAATTTTTTTAAAAATTTGCCAAGCATGGTGGCTCACACCTGTAATCCTAACACTCTGGGAGGCCAAGGCAGGAGGATCACTTGAGGCAAGGAATTCGAGATCAGCCCGAGCAAGAACGAGACCCTGTCTCTACAAAAATATACAAAAATTAGCCGGGCGTGGTGGTGTGCACCTGTAGTCCCAGCTACTGGGCAACAGAGAGAGATCCTGTCTCAAAAAAAAAAAAAAAAAAAAAAATTGGGTGAAGAACCTGAATAGACATTTCTCAAAAGAAAACATACAAATGTCCAACAGGTATATGAAAAAATGCTCGCCATCACTAATCATCAGAGAAAATCAAATCAAAACCACAAGAGATATCACCTCACACCTATTAGAATGGCTATTATCAAAAAGATAAAAGATAAGTCCTGGTGAAGATGTGGAGAAAGGGGATCCTTGTACACTGTCAGTGGGAATGTAAATAAGCACAGCCACTACAGATAACAATATCAAGGTTCCTAGAAAAATTAAAAACAAAATTACCATATGATCCAATAATATCACTTCTGGGTATACATCCAAAGGAAATAAAATCAGTACCTCAAAGAGATACCTGTATCCCCATGTTTATCGCAGCACTATTCAGCCAAGGTGTGCAATCAATCTGAGTGGCCATCAAAGGATGAATGGATAAAGAATATGTGGCATATAGACACAATGCAATATTATTCAGCCTTAATAAAGAAGGAAACCTTCATGTGTGACAACATGGATAAACCTGGAAGACATTATGCTAAGTGAAATCATCCAGGCATAGAAAGACAAATATTGTATGATCTCACTTACATATGGAATCTAAAAAAAAAAAATCATAGAAGCAGAGGACAGAATAGTAGTTGTGACAGGCTGAGATGTGGTAGAACTGGGGAAATGTTGGTCAAAGGGTACAAAGTCTCTATACGGCATGAGTAAGTTCTGGAGATCTAATGTACAGTATGGCGACTATAGTTAACATTAATAATACTGTATAGCATGCAGGAAAGAGAGGAGATCTTAACTGTCCTCACCACACACAAAGGTTAACTATGTGAAGTGATGGATATGTTAATTAGCTAGATTGTGGAAATTACTTCACAGTATACATATATCAAAACACCACATTGTAAACCATAAATATATACAATTTTTATTTGTCAATTATGCCAATAAAGTTGGGGAAAAAAACAACAACAAAAAGGTGGTCATTCTATCACATGCTACAACCTGGATGAACCTTGAGGATATTATGCCAACTGAAATAAACCAGTCATAAAAA